CAGGGCTAAACTTTGTGGGACTCATGGGAATATGAACAGTGACGTATATGTGACCATGTCATGAACAATACAGTAACAATGCATGATAATTATACATTAAAAGACGCTATGAAATGTGTTTTCCACCAATTAAAGCAGGGGTGTCAAACTCATTTTTGTCACGGGCCACATTGTAGTTGCGGTTTCCCTTGGAGGGCCATTATGAATTTTGGAAAACCATATAAATGTTTAATCAACTCCACATATTACATACACAGCGCACAACAAATTGATGAATAACTAGTTTTATAATCAGAAGTCAAGAATAATGACTGTTATTGTGGATTACATATGACAATTTGAAATTTTGGTGCAGTCTTTAGTAAACATCATGGAACTTGACATGCTTGATTTGCTTTCGCGGTCCACATAAAATGATGTGGCGAGCCAGATCTGGCCCCTGCACCTTGACTTTGACACCTGTGAATTAAAGCCTTTGAAGGGGGCCCTCTCGTGTGTGTTTACCTGAGAAGCAGACGCACAGTCTGGTAGTGCGTAGTGGAAAAACAGGAAGTGTGAGGACACAGTGGTGGGCTGACACGAGCCCAGACTATATAGAGCTGCATGCGGCCACGCGCGTAACTGCAAGCGATCCACGCGCACCACTATCTCACTGGGGCCGCACCAAACTTCCACAGGGCGTGTACGTGGAGCCTGTGGCGTGCTTGGGTGCTGCGGTGACTGTGGGAACAACAGCGCGGTCACTTCAGCGGGAACGAAGCTCTGGCGAGGAGCGGGCCGAAGCAACTCTTTGACTACAAGCGGCTGCGATGCGTGCAGGAACACCGGCAGGTGGTAGAAGGAAGAGCGCGCGGATTCGTCTTCTTGGACAACCGGATTCGCCTCCTCTGACCAAGTCATGTGCTGAACCGGACCACCCACTGCTGGACTGTAATAAAATATCCACATGAGCCACGAAAACACCAACATGGCTTGAAGTAAAAGGAGCCAACTGGGCTGGGCGGCCAGGTAGTAGATTTGAGCCGCAACTAGCAGAGAGTTGCACACCGACGTCTAATCTGGCAGCCTCATTAGCACACCTGCGCTCCCCCTGATTGAGCTGGAGGACGGGTATAGCACCGAGCCCAAATGGCTTATTTGATCTGCTAAATATTCATTCGTAAAAAGCTTTTGAAGAGGATAAAAACTTTGGTCTATCCTTCAGATTAAAAAAAAAAAAAAAACCTCCGGTGTAGAAGATTTTTTCGTCCATTTTAATGCCAGGGCCAGAGCTACAGGGTGGACAGAGGTGGCCTAGTGGCCACCCATTGCTAGGGGAAAATGTTGATAACTGATTTTGCTGCCATTTTCACATGGATGTAGTATTCTTTCACTCCATTATACTCTGCCACAAGTAGTTTTAAAAAAATATATTAATTGCAGATTTAAAGAATACATGTGCAATTGATCTGAATCCAAACACTAAAATAATCAGTTTTAGGAACATCCAATTCTTTTTGTCAACGTCAATCAAAATCATTGCTTTCACACCATAGCAAGTTAACAACCGAGAAGTAATTGTTTATTATACCGTCCAGAGTCATGGTTTCATGAAATAAAATGCAGATCCATACAAATCTTGCAGAAACAATCAAGCCAGAACAACCCTAAGTAAAAAGCAACTGTTAAAATTGTGAAGAACTAAGTGACATTTGTGCCATTGTGAGTTTCAGAAATAATTTGAATGAATGAGCCATTGATCTTCGTTTGAAAAATGCCATAGGTCTGATTGACTGTTAGCTATCGCATCGGTAAATGAGATTGAAGTAGACTACGAGATAGTACACAAAGCAAAGCCACTGCAAAGAAAATTGTATCATCTAGTAAATTAAGGTCATCAAAATGGTGACTTTTTCCTTCTTGATTATGAGTGTGATGAGCATTGTTCTGGACAGGTGTAAATTTTATTTCATGAAACCTGACATTGGATCTTACTTTGTATGATAAAGAATGACAGATGCACACACGGCCACCCCTAACACCCCTTCACTGAAGTGATGTGTTACCCTGGCCATCCCACTGAAAATGTTTTGGCTATCCCCCAATTCAAAGCTAGTCTGCATGGTCAGCATGTGGCACAACAACAGGTGGCTCTATAATTCAATGGACAGTCATCTTACATTGCCACTGTTACTGACAGCTTCTGTTATTTTCTTATACTGAAAACACTGTTGTTAGTGTGTATTTTACACCAGAATCCCTGTATGGAGTAATGAGAGTCTCTCAAAGAATTAACTTTACTGTTTGCATCGGCCAGTCACAGTACATTATCTCAATATTGTAAATTATAGGTTAGGTTTACATTTCGCTGTGATTTTTTTTCCTGATGGGCTTTACTTTGATTTCATAGTTCATACTTCTGACAACATGATGCAGATTTATCTTTCAGTAGCACTTCAGAATAGACCTTTTAAGAGAAAAATTCTAAATGTATTCTTCCTGATTAAATTTGCATGTAGCGCTTATACCAGACTTATTGGTCCAACTGTATGCCACACAATGTGGCATTTTGGTCTTAGAGACATGAAAATGCAGCACAGGGATCATTAGAGCTATCAAAGTTAGGCACGCTTAGCAAGTGGCAACATGAGATGGCCGCCGTTGGCATCACTTCTCCCTATGGCGAGTCAGCGGCATTGTTAGTCCAGTCATACATAAGTCTGTCAGTACAGTACAGTACGGTATGAAGCCCTATGCAAAATTTGACTTATCTCTTGTGGAAATGGAGTCTAACACAGGTAACTATGGAGGATAGGCAGACTATACCCTGGACTGGTCACAGGTTGGTCCAAGGGCACAAAGACACCGACCATCCAAATTTCATTTCCTCACTGCCTGGGAACTAAACACCTCTGCCTGCTGGAAGGTGAGTGAACAACAACATTGTCAGTAACATGAGTAGGAATATTCATAATGAATGAGAGAGCCCTCGGTTTATGTTATTGGAGGTCACGTTTTCATCACTGCTGCCAACCTGGAATGTCGGGCAGAAAACTCGCTCTGGATGCAGAGGCCTTAAGATGCGGGGGAAAAGGGGAGACTTTCTGGGGACCCCAAATATGATGGGGGCTGCTGTGAATGATCAGTAATTATTAATACCTCACAGGCAGTACTTACAAAATAATTTGCTCCATATATTTGATGCTATCGTACGCTGCAACTCCCAGTCATTAGTGTTGGTGCCCTTGCACAAATTGCTGGCAAGTATTAACATAGACAACATTTACAGTAGTCATATATAGACACCATCTTGATTATGTTGACACCCCAGCCATATTGGATGTGGCAAAGTAAAGCATTTTATGAAGATAAGATAAGATATCCTTTATTTGTCCCACACTGGGGAAATTTACAGTCTACAGCAGCAAGATTGTGGGTAGAAAGAAGAAAGAAGAAAAACAAAGTGTTTGCATTCACAAAATAAATGTGCCTCATTCACTTGCTCCTAGAGATGTTTCATCAATCCAGATCTTATTGGATTAAAACTTGATTTCAGCAAGCTCTTCAGGAGCCTGATAATAATCCTGATTACTCGAATCAAGTGTGTTGGAGGAAGGAAACATCTAAATCATGCAATATTGTGGCCCTTGAGGCCCAGAGTTTGACACCTGTGCCCTAAAAGAAATGGGACCACATACAGAAAAGCTAAACGAAAACCATCATTAAGATCTAAACAGAAAAAAACAAGGGTGCAATGGGCGAAGGAAAAGCAATCATGGACAGTGGATGACTGGATGAAAGTTAAATTCAGTGATTAATTGAAATCTGCATTGGGCCAGGTGATGATTCTGTAACTTTTGTTTAGTGCAGTCCCAATGAGATTTATGAAGACACCTGCCTGAAGAAAACATGCACATTTCCACAGTCATTGATGATCAGGGGCTTCGGAGAGATGTCTGTCATTGCATCTTCAATAAAAGCACAACTTGACGGTGACATTTCGGACACTTTTCTTATTCCATCAATTGAAAGGACGTTTGGGATGATTCAATCATTTTTCAAGATGATGGTGCATCTAACTATAGAGGAAAAACTGTGAAAAAATTCCTTGAAGAAAGACACACGCGGCCAATGTCATGGCCTGCAAATTGTCCGGATCTCAATCCGTTTGAAAATCTTTGGTGGAAGTTAAAGCAAATGGTCTACGACAGGGTTCCAACTGGAAAACTGATCAAGCAAAAGCAATCAGAAAAAGTCGGATCCAGGCTGATGAAGAATACCGTTTATTACTCATTAAGTCTATGCCTCTAGGCACGTTTCCAGGATTTATTTTCTCTCCTGAGGCGAAAGTGGGTCTTCACTGATATATAGAGGGGTGGGGCGGATTGGCGGCTGGTAAAATAATTTCGAAATATATTCTAGAATATCAAATAAAATGTTGGGAGGGCTGAATCAGGGCTACACGGATTTCTTCCGTGGTGTAACGCCATCCCTGCTGCGAGGTGTTATAAAAGTCAGACGTGGTGTAGCACAGTACTCGTGGTGTATATAAGTGCTCTTTTGTTGATGATGTTGTTGTTTTCATGATTCAATATTTTTTTTCTGAAGAATTTGAGTGATTCCATAATTTCCCCCTCTGCTTGGTCCAAACAAGTAACTGTTATTGACTACCACATTTTTCTTGATTTCTTTTCGTGTTTTCAAGAATGAAAGTAACCATCTGAAATGATTTTAGTTTTGTGCCATGTCTGTGATGTGCTTTTTTTTTTTTCAATTTGATTAAACAACTGGATGAACATCCTCTGAGACCGGTGATTCCATAATTTTTGTCAGGGGTTGTAGTACAGACAATTATTACAGACTGGTAGCCTAGTCAGAAGGTACAAATATACACCAAAACCAAGATAAGAAAAACATATATTGTCGGTATATGGATATTAAAGGTGTGTTTTAAAGCTAGGCATGTTGCTGTCATTCAATCGAAATGACGTTCACGTTGGGCTCGGCCTGGAGAGGAGGCCACGCCCACTAGGGGAGACCGGAAGAGAGTAGCCTTTCACATGCGCACGATGCTGCACGCGCAACCAGGCCGTGTGCGTGCGGAACCTTCACACGGACGAGCCACATTTGGTGGGGGCTCAAATGTGTCTTGTTCCAGGGTGGTCAGTGAGGGTCTGTCTGCTACCGCTACAAACCCAGGTGGGCGCAGGGCTCACGATGTAGCACCACTAGCCCGGTTTTCCTGTTCGAGGTGGGTTATCTGTTCGGCCCATTGTTTCATCCCTGCTTTGTTTAACGACTCTCTGAGCAGATTTGACCGCACACGTTCGCTCCAATGTAATCCACCACCCTTATCATCCTGCATTATTAGATTGCTCGGGGTCGTATCTGGACGGACGTGTAAATCGACATCCACACTTACCGTTACACACGTCGATGTATACTGTACCATAGAATGGATGTAGTGAGGACGCTGACGGCAAATCTCTACTTATCTGGTTACGTTATCGTAATGCAAGTGCAATTAAAATGACCAAAGTAACCTATTGTAGTGATTAACGATTCCATACTCTTGTATGAGACCTATCATAAAGCGTTCTCCCGTTGAATCAGTCAAGTGTTCATCGACACGTAGTTGCTCACATCGTTTAAAGCTTGTGTTTATTTTGACTGTAATGTCGCTGCCAAAATCCAGTTTAATTATTGAAAGCAGCTATTAAAAATATGTATTTATTTTGACTGCGAAGTAGGATTTCTCCACGGACAAGAGAAGTAATTATCCAAATTGATATTCGAATTAAAGTCACACATTTTCAGTCACTTTTCCAACCCTTATGTACATGTTTTGAACATTTACGGGATCATTTTTACCCACAAATATGACCAAGTATTTAATGGCCAAATATAAAAACACCGACATACAATGACAATGTGGAGACAGCACTTAAAATTTCCACAGTGACTGTTCTAATGTTTTCTCGACTAAATTCAAATGATACAATACAATAAAATTAGTTTGGTTTGTTTGTTTGTTTATTGAACATAAAACGTATACAGTAATAATTTGACAGAAAATAAGGTAAATAAAATAGTAAAGAGGAAAGAGAAATCAGTCATCATTCAACACAGTTATTATGTTCAAGGGAGTAGGAAGAAGTAAAGAACTTATCTAGTCCTACCCGTTTTACAAAATTAAATACACTTTCTCCAATCCATATTAAAAGCTGAACGGGAGTGATAGCTACATGAGTCTCTATTTTTGATTTTATATTAATATTACAAGACTAATCGTTTTTCTTTTGTCAGGACACAAGATTTCCACATTAGCAGAATAAGCAAAGAAGAAGAAGAAGCATCTGTCATTCATGTCAGCTGTGCAAGATGAGTACAGACAGACCCAAACGGAATATCATCAAGAAGAAATATGTGAGTAAAATGTATATGTACTGCATACTGCTATAGACACATACTATGCATGTGTTTAGTGTATAGCAGAGTCAGTATCAAGTCAAAATTACCTTGACATTTAGTTTCAAAGATCTCCGTTGCATTTCACAAAAGTGATAGATCGCCAAGCTTGGTTACTGATTATAGTAGAACACACCTCTTACAGTCACTGGCAACAAGATCCAAATCAAGAACTCGACTACTCTGAAGATAATTCAAAATTTTGAATGACACTGTCAGAGTTACTATACACAAGCTTCATGTCATGGTTGCAGTTTGCAGTGGTGTACAACGGAACAAACTACATTCAACGGATAGATATTTGTTGTATTTTGATTACGTTATCTAGCAAAATGAGTGTAGTAAATCATCATGCAACATATCTTAGTATTACTTCTTAGCATTTTTTTTAATCAGATGCCAGTAAAATTTTCAAATTTTTTTGTGCTGATTCTGAATTTGCCCTTGTCTTTTTCTCTAGCACATCAGTTTTCCATCGTAATAATACTAATAAAAATAATTTAACAATAATATTACAGGGTTCGAGACTAACTTTTTGCACTGTTTGCACTGGTGCGAACAACTTTTTTTCTTGGTTGCACCAGCACAAAAGTTAGGTGCACCAAAATTATCAACTGCATCACAATCAACATCACAGTTATACAGATATAACATTATCAAAGGGGGAAAAAATATATTTACACTATATTGACTTATTGCTGTTTTATTTGGGAAGATATTTGTGCATTTTAATTATTTTGTAGCTTGTGACCTTTAATGTTCAGAAAATGAATAAAGCCAATCTCCAAGTATTTGACCACTATTTCCGTTCACATGCAGGTAGATTTTTTTTTTTTTCCTGAAACGTCAAGAAAAAAGTATACGTGTTTCAAATCAGCGTCAAAAATAACTTTAGGGTCACATAAAGCCACTTCTATTTAAAATTTGCTGTTCAACATTGTTATTATGTAGTGTAATGAGACACTCATTTTGACAAATAAAAAGATTTGCATTAGATCAGATTAAATACATAATCCAAAAAGTTTAACATGATTACTTGGTTTGGAGGTTCAGTGCTTTGATGACAGTTTTCAGAAACAGCATTAATTGAATGTTTCAGTTCATTGTAAAATTGTACTTATTAAGTTAGACATATTTGATTGACTAGCAACCAGTAAAGGCCGGTTCATACAGTGCCAAGAAAAAGTATTCCAGCTTCCTGATTTCAGATTTTTGGTTCATGATAATGAAAATCCTATGGCGGGCGATCAGTTCATACTCCGACGCTCAAGCGCTCTGGAGTTAACCAGCAGGATAACCTGAAACATACCAGCATGTCTACTTCTGAATGAAAATTGGTATATATGCAAAGAAAGAAATCCGAAAAACAAGGAAAAAAAGCAAATGCTTGTACATAGCAACGTGAATTGAAATAGTTTGGCTTTTATCTTTCTCGTTGTTGACGGCAGCAATGTACAAAAGTTTTTTTTTGTTTTTTTTTAAATGTAAGGTTGTTGAAGAACCCTCAGTGATGTTTATGCATGTCGTTTGGCTCTTTGGCTCTTTAGGACATCAGTGATGGAATGCCTTGGTGTGAAGAGCGTCTGGTGCGCAAAGTTCTTTTCCTCTCCCTCAGGGAATTCCGAGACACACGCCGTGCCACACACGGACACTTACCTGCACACGGGCACAAACGCAAGCATGTATCGAAAGCAACACTTTCACATGAACCACAAAAGTCAAGTCAAAAGCCCCAGCAACAAAGAGTCTCGCACAGACTGCAAAATATGCAGAAAAAAACCCACAGTCTGGAAAAAACTCAAGTTAAGACAAAACAGCAACGTGATCATGCCAACAAAGTGCAAAAATCAAACTTGTCTCAGGATACGCATTCACGGAAAAGTAAAAATACTCATACAGAACAGCGCATGCACCCACAACGAAAAATGTGCCGAGAAAAAACTGCGCAGCACACCAGCTTTCAAGAACATTCAACCAGGACGTTACGGTCACATAAAACGTCAAAGTCATCATCCATGTCGAAATACTCAAACACCACGAAAGAACCACAGCGAACCCAGCACAAGAACTCAGTTGAAAATACTAGGCCACCCAAGAATGTGCGACCACTCGTGAGGACTCCTGTCGCGGCCAGGAAACAGACGTCACACTCTCCCAAAGGCATCAGGGGTCAGTTCCTGTTCTACTACTTCCATTTGATTGCTCAGTCTAACTCTATTGGGAGAAACTAACAATGGTAATCTAACTGACATCAGTATCGTGTCGTTTTACAGCCAAGCTGTGAAAACTGATTCATGATTCATCAATATGATCTGCAATCTATACAATTCTTATTTCATTTTGTGATGTGACATACCTGTAGAGTGCTGTCAAATGGTATTTGCGCCCTTCCTGATTTCTGTGTTCTTTGCATATTCATCACATGCAAAAGTTTCAGTTCGTAACACCCATTTTAATATCACACAGAGACTACCCAAGGAAATACATAATGCAGTTTCCAAGTGCCAATTTAATTTATTAAGGCATCCAAAACTACCTGTCCCTATGTGAAAAAGTAATTGACCCCCTTGTTAAATCACAAAGTATCTGTGACTTACGACAGTTTTGGGAAAGCTGAGTTCAGTTTCACAGGCAACACCTTCGTACCGCATATGTTGAATCACCAAATCACATCAATAGAATCTGTCAGACAAAGAGAAGTAGGCTACAAGATTTCAAGAAACAAATGCATTATACCCCAAGCCGAGCATTTTGTATTTCCTTGGCTTGTCTCTGTGTAATATTAAAATTGGTTCGATGAACTGAAATCTTTGTGTGTGGTAAATATGCAAAGAAAACAGAAATCAGGAAGGGGGCAAATACTTTTTCACGGCACTGAAACAAAGCAAAATCATTGTAGGTAAGCACAAATTCACTGCTTAGTCTAACATTTCAACCCATTGGTTTAGGTTCCCTGGTCAATGGCGCCGGTCAGTGTCTGTCCTTGCTGTCAGGCAGCTCTAGCTGGAGTTGGTCCTTAAAGGCACGCCCTCAGCGCCACCCTGTCAGCCTCTTTTGTGACAACGATGACCCACATAGCGGGAGGTCAGCTACTCTTTGGTGTTTTTTATTTATTTATTTATTGTTTCACCCTTGTGTATCTTTGTGTGTTGGAAAATGAGTCATCACGTTTTGTTTTGGTTTGGGTTTGTTTTGTTTTTTTTTTTTTTGCAAACAATTGTCATTATCCTATGTGTGATACATTGAAAGAAGGTTAAGGTCAGACCTACCTCAGGAAAGAATGGAGGATACTTTGATTATGCCAAAAGGCTTAAGTTTTTTTTGTCCCTTCATTATCCTTGAATTCAGATTAGTTTGTTTGTTTGTGTAGGCCAAGGTTGCAAGCGCAGAGAAAATTTGCCCAGTCTCCACCCAGCTCTCCTGGTCCACCACCGACATCATCAACACAGTGTAGGCACAACCCCAGCCTGGCAGTCGTCACCAGTCTCACCAGGTGTCGACCAAAAACTGAGGACTTCTTATCATTTCTCTGCCTCAGAGGTAAGTCTCCATGATGACGTTCATTCATTGACTCAATATCAATTCAGTTCAAGACACAATCTCTCTCTTTTTATTGCCGTCTCAAGTATTGCTGTATTGGATATCATATGAAAATCTTCTCATGTTCCCATTCCATGTGAGAACTATATCCTTCTTTGCAGTTTATCTTCTGACAGGACAGACGGCATTGTTGTTTTGAGTTTCATCATTCAGTGCATCACATTTGTCACTTGGGCTATGACATTATGCGCAGGGATATAAACTTAGGTACGCTTGTAAAAATGTGAATAAATTGGTGCGAAGTGAACCAGGACAAAGTGTGGAGTTTAATACACATGAGGAGTATGTGTTGTGCTTTGGTGTGGATCAGTGTACCAAAATGTATGGCTGAACACAGACAAAGTCTGGAGTTTTAGCACCTGATCTGTATTTTAGCATCTAATCCAGGGGTGTCAAACTCATTTCACGTTGTGGGCCACATACGGCCTCGGTAGATGTCAAGTGGGCCGGACCATTAAAATTATACCATACTATGCTATAAATAACCAAAATAATATTTCTTTCCTTTATTTTGGTCTAAAGAAGCACAAGAACATTAGGAAAATATTGAAATTTTATGAACATATCTTTTACGAAACATTTCATGAAGCACCTTAAATTTCCTTAGACAAATGTGCAATTTACTTTTATCATTCACATATATGCATTGCAACTGATCACACTGATTGTACAAAGGCGCAAAACTTATAAAAAAATATATTAATGCATTTTAAGATTAAACGAGATTTATAAAGAAAGGAATTTTTAAACCATTTACACATGTGCATATAAAATCTAAATTTAATCCCTGCCGACCCCTTACAAACGAAGGAGAGTGCTATTAAATGTGTAAAGAATAAAGTAGTCACATGTCCTTGATAGCGTATGCTGTGTTGGGTGTGTCTCAGTGACAGACTGAGGCTGCTGTTGTCTTCCACTCTGATCAAAACAGTGTGTCCCCTAGCGCAGGGGTCCCCAACCTTTTTTGCCCCACGGACCGGTTGAAGTCAGACAATATTTTCAGGGACCGGCATTTAAGGTGTGGCGAATTAATACAACAAAATAATATGATATGAGCTGCATGAAAACTGTGGTGTTTTCGAAATATAATAATAAACACAAGGAGCGTCTAATCTGGTCGCAACACTCTTATCGCTCTGGTAATGTTTAATGCCTTCAAAATACGATACAACGCAAATTCAAAGTGCATGAAAATGACGACTCACCACA